ACGAGACTCATTTCATTCATAAATTGTAGTAAAACGTAATAGTACTTCCAAATATGGCATACATTTCTTGGAATGGAATAACGTGAACATTTCTAGGAAATTTAAGGAGCGAAGTAATGGGACTGTCAACAGACTACCGCAGACAGAAAAAAACCAGTATATCTTATTGAAATTAAGGGCGATGATGTTGCGTCAGGATAAATGCATTTGATATTTCTTTGGCGAATTTTGTAACCAACATCGCGCCAAATACTCAGAAAACCTGCATCGTAACGAAGCCTGACAACTGGTCGGATTGAACACGTCGTCAACTGGTCAAGCTACCGATTGTGAAATTTCAATATCTGTTTGCGTTTATCTGAGATGATCTTTGAACGAAAGTTATATGGGTAGATTGTGCTGGGTTTATTTTTGGAGGAGGAAAATGCAAACGGAAATTAAGCAAGCTGTACGTATAAGAAACTTATTGATTATTTATTGTTTCAAAATATTTGGTTTTCTTTGTAACATTATTAAAAATAAAAGTTGGAAATTATCTTATCTTCACTATCTTAAAAATCTCCCCCTTTGGAGTCAAATCTCCCCCATTTTGAAGTCAAATCTCCCACATTGTCATGATGAGGGGTTGACAGGTCTGCAAGTGACCAGGTTGGCCACAGAGTGAAGAAGTAGGATACTGTAAGCCAAAAAGTCTCGTTCCTATCTCAACTCATGGTATACAGTTCACAGCATGAGGAGTTTCATGTGTCTTTGGCAGGATGTATGCGATATAGAAGCTAATTGGGCAGATAGTACCACAAAAAGAAACTCATTACATGCTAGGGAAACATGCGCTGTGAAGGAGTGGGTGTTATGTCATTGCTGCTGAGTTACACAGAGAGAGGTGAGCTCACAAGGGAGCTTACTGAGGATGATGTGCTGTGAAGAAGATTGTGTCATGAACAACCTTAACTTCATCTCATGTCAACCTGTAATGATCCGGGGTAGAATAGGTCTTCAGCAACCCATGCTGGCGACTATGCTTGTCGTAAGAGGCGACCAACGGGATGGGGTGCTCAGGCTCGCTGACTTGGTTGATGCATGTCATTGATCCCAATTGCGTGGATCGATGCTCATGATATTAATCACTGGATTATCTGGTCCAGACTCGAATGTTTACAGACCACCATCATATTGCTGGAATATTGCTGAGTGCAGCGTTAAACAACAAACCAACCAACAAACCAAATCATCATGTCACATCATCACTACTGATGGAGAAATCTTGTGTTATGGAAGGAGTGCTGTGAGAAATTATGAATCCAACACTGATGAGCACAACCATACAACTCAGTATTTCATGTCACTGCAACCTTGTGAACAAGACAGAGGATATTGACCTGGCCATGCCTTTCTCCAAAAGCTAGGACCATCACATCAGCGGACACTGACATACGAGGCCCGTCAGCATTTGGCCTTAATTACTCAGATTACACAAGCCTTTTGCAAGAAAAATAGCAGCCGTCTGCAAGACTTTGAATGACTTCTCTGAGAGGTTTTTTGTTGTTTAACGACAATCAACACTATTTAAGCTATATGACGGCGGTTTGTAAATAATCGAGTCTGGACCAGACAATTTAGTGATTGACACCATGAGCATCGATCTACACAACGCAAGGTGGATATATTGACATGTATCAACCAAGTCAGCAAGCCTGACCACCTGATCCCGTTAGTCGCCTCTTACGACAAGCATAGTTGCGTTTTAGGGGATTGTGATGGATCACAACAGGGATATCCCTAATTGAAAACACTTACATACAAAGAATGAATCACAGAATACTGCCTAACAAATCATTAGCAATTTATCAGATACTCACAGCAAGAAATAGTTCAAATAAAATTAGGTATGAGAGATCAATATTGTTTTTAACACTGAATCATTTCTATATGAAGTATTTCCAGATTTTTCACTATGTTTGTTTGTTTGTTGTTTAACACCGCTCTCAGCAATATTCCAGATATATGACGGCAGTCTGTAAATAATCGAGTCTGGACCAGACAATCCAGTGATTGACATCATGAGCATCTATCCATGCAATTGGGATCGATGACATACATCAACCAAGTCAAAGAGCCTGACCATCCGATCCTGTTAGTCACCTCTTATGACAAGCATAGTCACCTTTTACGGCAAGCATGGGTAATTTTTACTATGATATAACAACCGAACTTGGACCGAACAATAAAATGACTATAAAGAAGTTGACATGAGCCAATCAGATTGCAACTTTCTCAAGCTTTTCTGCACAAGTTACAAACTGGCAATTTTCATTCCACACTACGCTTTGAAAAATATAAATTCAAAATTTGAAAAACAAACTAACAAAAATTCTGGAATGTCTAATAGATGACTGAAATTGTATGGCAGTACTTCCCAGGGGCTAAGAAAAGTCTTATCCATTTCAAATGTTTATCTCATTGAACCAGGAGATAGATGAATATTTTGAAGAAATCATTGGTATTAACCATTTTGAGGTTTTATGATTAGAGAACACATTCCGACTGTCACTCTCCTGATCTGGTAAGCTACACTCATATTGGTCGGATGAATGGTCTTTCTGACGTGAACCATAATGGGATGTCCTCAGATCTTTGTTTTTTAGGTAGCGAGAACTAAGACTTGATTTAAATGAGATAGATAAGTGCACAAACGCCAAGCCCTGAAAGCACCCTGTACATTTATCCAAGTCCTCCCAGTGAACTAGCAGTGATATCATCATGTGGCTGATCTGATCATCGTCAACTCCATGTTCTCAACGTTCACTGAACGTCCCTTGCCACCTCCAACAAATAACTACTCCTTCATCACAGCTTAGACAGCACTAAATGCCGACAGCAAGATTCCAAATTAAGATAATTTCCATCCCCGTCTTGTGGGACTTTGATTGGTCTACCCTAAGTGATTGCTCTTTTAACATCACACAGGCAAGGCCTCTTGGACATTCCTCAGCTACACAAAACATGGCCCGGTGATGAACCAAAGAGTCCTTGCCAGACTACAGGGTTCAACAGGAAGCCTGAAGACATGGCTACAGAATCAATAGGACCTACACTACACATCCACACCATCCAATCATACCAAAACTCATTAACAGCCATGCATGTCATTACAGGATGGAAATAAGTTCTCACTGCCCTGAGCTTCTACATTTCCAAGTTTGTGCGATATGATAAACAGATACGAGATAAGTAAGGATAAGAATTTATGGCTGGTTCTAACAGCGTTAACAAGCAATCACTTGCTTGATAACGCTGTTAGAACCAACACCGAAACGTCGCTCTTAATTGTAATAAAGAAGTTTCTCAGCCATAAATTCTTATCCTTACTTAGTACTCCAACTTCTAAATGCCTATCAAAGAAGATACGAGAAAGTAGTGATTTATTGAGACCTGCTCTAGTCTGCAGCAAATTTCCGTAAAAATTCCCGAAATAAGAAGTTCCAATTACATATTTATACATTACTGTATATTTATTACTAATACCATCGTGTTGTAGAGGTGACTTGTATTTCGCAGATAGCATTCTTGTTTGTTTGTTCTTTAACGCCGCACTCAGCAATATTCCAGCAATATGACTGCGGTCTGTAAATAATCCAGTCTGGACCAGACAATCAACTGATTGACATCAATTGGGATAGATGACATGCATGCATCAACCAAGTCAGCGAGCCTGACCACCCGATCCCGTTCGTCGCCTCTTACGACAAGCCTAGTCGCCTTTTACGGAAAGCATGGGTTGCTGAAGATCTATTATACCCCGGATTTATAAGGGTCTCGCTGATAACAGGGCCAATAAATAAGAAGAGGCTTTCATGTTAAGTTTTACATTAATGCAGCGAATGTATTGTTAATCTACAATGTTAAAAGGGATCTAAACTTAAGAAGATAATAACTAATAAAAATCCAAATAATTCTTCTTTCCCAATTTGCTTGCCAAGGGCACTTATAATCCTCACCACTTCAAATAGAAACACAAAATATCATGGTGATTAAATAACAAAGATTGCTGCATCTGTGCTAATACTCTTAAAGTGAACCATATTATTAAATGGTTTAAATTTAATCTAAACTGCTGTACAAATTAAACGCTGTCCACTATGTCTTGAATTGTTTTGTTTCGACTCTAAAGCATTAAACACAAGATTGAAACAATGTTGACCTAACACAAAATCTGTTATCTATAGGCAGATGATTACTGCTGGATAAAAAAACCAATAGGTTTTGAATGATTTTTCTCACTCTAAACCAACACTATGTGGGTCAGAACAAAGACCAGCATCTACAAATTAAGGGCACAACAAAGACAAAGAATCGTTGGTTATGTGATTAGTATTAAATATTCATCCTTCAACCTACAAACATGACCAGTAGATTCCAATAGATGTCACAGGAAGTCGGTTACAATCAATAACACTTGGCAACATGTAACCAAGGTGACATGTTTAATACCACATTCTGTATGCCATTAGTAAACATGTGAATTCAGAAATAGAATCAGAAATACAACAGTATTGTAAGCATGTCAGTCCCGCAAAAAACAGTATAAGGTAAACATGTAAAATGGAACATAAAACATGTGAAATACTGCAAATATATGTGAAACAGGACTGCTAAAAAATGTGAAACCTCATTGTAATAAGGTTAAACGGTACTGTCAATGTTTTTGCCAGGACTGTAAGCATGAACGTTCAGGCTGAGTGAGTGAGTGAGTGAGTTTGGTTTTACGCCGCTTTTAGCAATATTCCAGCAATATCACGACGGGGGACACCAGAAATGGGCTTCACACATTGTACCCATGTCGGGAATCGAACTCGGGTCTTCGGCGTGACGAGCGAACGCTTTAACCACTAGGCTACCCGACCGCCCCCGTTCAGGCTGAGACAAGAGAATAATTCATGACAGTTGAGGTGACCCAGTGCAACTTCACTGTCAGGAGATGAGAAGAGACGCTTTCTTACCGACTTCATCAAGAGCAGATTTCTCCAGAGCCTCAAGCTTTTGACGCTTGATGGCATTCTGCAGAAGGCGTTCCCGCGCAGGGTCATACTGTCGGTCAGCGACGGGGCCAGCGAGGATGTACACATCCTCCAGAAACAGGTGGATATTGGAGGAGAACAAACTTGTCCAGGGGATGTCTAGCTTCAGGTGACCTGGAGGAAAATATCAACATGAACTTTCAAACTTTCAGTCAGGTGAGCTAAAACTGGGAGATGTCTAGCTTCAGGTTACCTGGAGCAAAATATCAACATGAACTTCAAACTTTCAGTCAGGTGAGCTAAAACTGAGGGATGTCTAGCTTTAGGTGACATGGCACACAAATATCAACATGAACTTTCAAACTTTCAGTCAGGTGAGCTAAAACTGAGGAATGTCTAGCTTCAGGTGACCTGGCACACAAATATCAACAAGAACCCTTAAACACATGTTAAACTTTCAGTCAAGTGAGCTAAAAACAAAGGAAGTCTAGCTTCAGGTGACCTGGAAGACAAATACCGGTACTATATACCGGTACTATAGCAAACATTAACTTCCGAATTGAGTTGTTTTTTTATCAGCCCACCAGAATCCCCGTTTAACACTATGGAGAAAACGAGCATTGTTAAATTTTAACATCTCACTACTCAACACAGCTAGTTCCATGAATTCAAACATTTATTGCTGTTGTTGACACATGTTGAAAGATAACTGACAAAACTACATCGAGATATACCATATTCCACATGACAAGCACCCGGGTGGGGGAAAGCTTACAGAAAACATAGATATTGAGTTGAAACTAAAACCTTTTCGATAATAGTTAAAAGGCAATTACATACACCTTCTACTTACTAAAGTTTGTTTCAAGGTCCCACTAGCAGTAATCTGACCGTGGTTGCTGTTAATAACGGTGAGTTGTGAGATCTTCCGATCGCTTCACACACGATTTCTCGGAAATTAATAAAAACAATATTAAAAGGTATTTTGAATAAAAATCAACGAAATAAGTTACAAACATATGTCCAGATATACAATAAACACTTTTTATAACCAGACAGTGTAATTATTTGACATTGTTGACACTGTATTTCCGGTGTTTCATGCTCATGGTAATGTCTTTGCATTGGGGAAAAAAACCCCCATCAAAACTCATTATGGCGTGTTTAATGCGCACCCCCTTCTACACAGCTGTGTTTTTTTGGGAAAAAGTGTGCACTATACTCAAGAAAATACGGTAGCAGTTTTCTGTAAAACAAACTCTGTAATATACACAAGCAAATTTGGTCATATAAATCATTTTCGGTCTCAGTAGGGGACGATCAGAAGTTGACCAGGCAGTGCTTATTGGAGCAGAGTACTCAATACATGAGAATACGGTATGTCAAATGCAGCCTGAACATAACCCAAAATATTACATATCGTGTACAACACTTCCTGCAATACTTAAATAATGTCATTAGCGTTATTGCAAACCTGGCTCATAATCAATACAAACTTCAGGAAGAAAATCTATTCACTTCATTTTCACTCTTGTTTGATTCTGTTCAAAAGAGAACATAAAAAATAGGATCTTGTAAGTCAAGCTAAGCATGTGGAGGACCATCATTTATTCATATTAGCAGGTGCTTGTTCTCTGTAGCAAACAAGTGTGTAAGTGCCAGATAAAGATTTCTTTGTGCCAATGACGAAAGTAACACTAAGCCTACTCATAAACAAGCTCCTCACAGTGACAGCACGTTTTGGAGCTCTCCATACTAAATAATCACTGCCATCATTCAATGCTCCCCACTGTGATAGGTGGCCACAATCATGCATTGGAGTGGAACTCGCAACCGCCTGACAGTTAAGTTGACAAACAAGTCATGACAGTCATGATGCCAAATACTCTTGACATCAGCTTAATTGTTTTCTTCATTGAATTTCTTTTTCATTTCAACTATCATGTAATTAGCATAGTAAGAATGTAGGGGGAAGTAGGGTGATTTTCAATTCGTCTGCAATCTCAAACCAATCTAATCAAACAAAGCAAACGTTTCCAACCAAAAAATTCATCTTAGAAATCCTCTCATTCGTAAACCATTTCAAAATTCCTAGCATGGCATTCCCAAAGACATAAACAAAATTATAATCGTTACTTCATTTGAGGTTAGAGGGCAAATTTAAAAATTCTTGGGAAGGACGCTTCCACACTGACGTCAGGATGTTACCGAGAGTGTAATAAAGGAGTCACATGCTGGGAAGGAGCTTGATTCATAGGGTGAGACAGTACTATTATCCAAACAACTGTACACATGACACACTGATACCCTGACAACAAAACACATCACAGGTGCTGAACATCAACTAAATCAAACCAAAAGACATGATTTATTGATCTTCATTCGAGTATTTCCATTTACGGATTATTCTTTATTGCTGAAAGGCTCCCCTCGGGTATTAAGGGTTACATACCTTCTGAAGGTCATGAAACACCATTGATGTCGCCAAGTGATCCAAAGATAGTCATCTCATTCCCAACCATCAACCACTGAAGATTACGTAGTGATATTTGATGGCAAATACATCTATTAATTACTATGTTCTGATCTGTTGCATTGATTTTATACCTAGTTCCGTAAAACAGTCAATCTGTTGTGATGGGGACTGTTGGCTATTATCAGATTGGGGGGGGGGAGTCTCATGCAAGTAGCAGATGCACTAATGCTATGCACATGCCTCACACTTCTAACTCCTGATTGGCTGGTTGTCCTAAGCAAGGAATAATATTCCTTGTTATTTAACACCATATTCGGTATCAGAGATGTTTACAGAGCCAAAAATGCAATTTCAGAGAATTTCAGAGAATTACATTACACTTTGAGCTGGTATGACTGACCAGAGACCATGAATAGTTTTTTCAACATAGCTGCTCATGAACAAGCATGTGAAGCTTTAGCTTCACTGGTCCAGTGGTTTCTGAAGAGTAGATGTTTACAACACTCACGTCCCAATCAATAGACACCCCCAACACACTAACGTTCTCATCCATCCCTACTCTAACCCAATCATATCTCCATCCATCTCTAACCCCCCCCCCCCCCCCACCCCTCCCCACACACACACACACACACACTCACATTCCCATCCATCTCTATCTTACTCACATTCCCATCCATCTCTAGCCCCACCCCACTCATATCCCCATCCATCTCTACACCCCCCCACATACCACTCACATTCCAATCCATGTCTACCCCACTCATATCTCCATCCATCTCTACCCCAATCATATTCTATCCATATCTACCTCATTCATATCCCTATCCATCTTTACCTCACTCATATCCCCATCCATCTCTACCTCACTCACATCCCCATCCATCGCTACCTCATTCATATCCCCATCCATCTCTACCTCATTCATATCCCCATCCATCTCTACCTCACTCATATCCCCATCCATCGCTACCTCATTCATATCCCCATCCATCTCTACCCTAATCATATCCCCATCCATCTCTACCCTAATCATATCCCCATCCATCTCTACCTCACGCACATCTCCATCCATCTCTACCTCACTCATATCCCCATCCATCTCTACCTCACTCATATCCCCATCCATCTCTACCCTAATCATATCCCCATCCATCTCTACCTCACTCATATCCCCAACCATCTCTACCCTAATCATATCCCCATCCATCGCTACCTCATTCATATCCCCATCCATCTCTACCCTAATCATATCCCCATCCATCTCTACCCTAATCATATCCCCATCCATCTCTACCTCATTCATATCTCCATCCATACCTCACTCATATCCCTATCCATCTATACCCTAATCATATCCCCATCCATCTCTACCTCACTCATATCCCCATCCATCTATACCCTAATCATATCCCCATCCATCTCTACCTCGATCATATCCCCATCCATCGCTACCTCATTCATATCCCCATCCATCTCTACCCTAATCATATCCCCATCCATCTTTACCCTAATCATATCCCCATCCATCTCTACCTCACGCACATCTCCATCCATCTCTACCTCATTCATATCTCCATCCATACCTCACTCATATCCCTATCCATCTATACCTCATTCATATCCCCATCCATCTCTACCTCATTCATATCCCCATCCATCTCTACCTCACTCATTTCCCATCCATGGCTACCTCATTCATATCTCCATCCATCTATACCCTAATCATATCCCCATCCATCTCTACCCTAATCATATCCCCATCCATCTCTACCTCATGCACATCTCCATCCATCTCTACCTCACTCATATCCCCATCCATCTCTACCTCACTCATATCCCCATCCATCTCTACCTCATTCACATCCCCATCCATCTCTACCTCACTCACATTCCCATCCATCTGTGCCCCACCCCATTCACATTCCCAACCATTGCTTCCCCACACCACTCACATTTCCAACCATCCCAACCCCAGCCTACTCGCATCCCATCCATCCCCTCCCCTCCCCACCCCACTCATGCTCATGATATCAATCACCGGATTGTCTGGTCCAAACTTGATTATTTACAGACTGCCATCATATAGCTGGAATATTGCTGAGTACCAAACAACCCCACTCACATCCCATCCACCCCACTCACATTCCCAACCATCCCTACCCCACCCCACTTACATTCTCATCCATCCCCACTCACATCCCATAACCACCCCTCCCCCACCACACTCACATCCCATCCACCCCTCCCCATCCCACTTACATTCTCATCCATCCCCACTCACATTCCCATCCATCCCCACCCCATAAACCCCCCTGCCCATGCTATCGCTACAGTAATGTTCAGATGCCATTATTACAATGGGTCCTTCACACACGGGAAATATAGCGTCATTATATTGATGAAACAAAGCAGTATTAACATGATTAATGTGATGCCACCCACACAGTGAACATTTCTTATGTTCATAGCTGAAGCTTAAGTGATATTTCAATGTTTGGCATTTACAGTGAAACACAATTAAATACTTTCATCTCCATGATAGCTTAATGTTAAATCTACTTACTCTCTTGGACCTATTACACAGCTGAGCACAAAGAGAATTGAATCTAATACAAGATGGTTGATTGCTGCAAGCACACTTCTGGCAGGGGAACACATTTAGTGAAAATGTGTTACTCTAACATAGACTGATGATGCTCTCGATGCAACTTGATGCAGCGCGATGCAGGTCAATGTATCCTTTGTGATTACAACAAAGACTGGACAATTCTGTCTTTGCATATGAATCTATAGGTAAATTGTAATCCTGCCTGCAGTTTTACTGTGGCCATACTGTACTTTGGGGGAAAAACGTCCAACCAATCTCTACAATATCAATCTGTGGCATTTTAGAAGCTCCAGTATCAATGAAGACACAAGTATCACTTTTGCCTAATAAAGGTACCAGTATTTGTAATGAAACATTGCATTGAAAGAAGAAAGCAGCTCAAATGTCTATGTCAACTATGTCGTCATTGCTTAGGCACTGGTCAAGGATAACATTCTGATTGGCAAGAACTGCCACTGTTGCTTCTACTGCTACAGCTGCCCACAGTTGATGTTGCTACTATTGCTACTGCTGCCCAAAGTTGATGTTGCTACTATTGCTACTGCTGCCCACAGTTGATGTTGCTACTATTGCTACTGCTGCCCAAAGTTGATGTTGCTACTATTGCTGCTGCTGCCCAAAGTTGATGTTGCAACTATTGCTACTGCTGCCCAAAGTTTATGCTGCTACTATTGCCACTGCTGCCAAAAGTTGCTGCTACTGCTACCAAAAGGTATTACCATTGCTGACTGAGGTTGCTGATGCTACTACTACAAGCTAAAGTCGCTACTGTTGCTACTGCTGCCCAAAGTTGCTACTACTGAAACTATTGCCCAAGATTGCTTTTGCCATTGTCCCTGTTGACCATCATAAGTCCATTAGAATATGGAAGGTAAGACAAACTTAACGGCACTAAGATTGCAACCATCAATGCAGCTACTATTGCAACCATCAATGTATCTGCTACCATTGCAACCACCACCTATAAATATGCTAATATTGCAACCATCAATGTATCTGCTACTATTAAAACCACCATCTATTTATCTGCCACTATTGCAACCCTTAATGCAGCTACTATTGCAACCATCAATGTATCTGCTACCATTGCAACCACCATCTATTTATCTGCTACTACTGCAACCCTCAATGTATCTGCTACTATTGCAACCCTCAATGTATCTGCTACTATTGCAACCCTCAATGTATCTGCTACTATTGCAACCCTCAATGTATCTGCTACTATTGCAACCACCATCTATGTATCTGCTACTACTGCAACCCTCAATGTATCTGCTACCATTGCAACCATCAATGTATCTGCTACTATTGCAACCACCATCTATGTATCTGCTACTACTGCAACCCTCAATGTATCTGCTACCATTGCAACCCTCAATGTATCTGCTACTATTGCAACCCTCAATGTATCTGCTACCATTGCAACCCTCAATGTATCTGCTACTGTTGCAACCCTCAATGTATCTGCTACTATTGCAACCCTCAATGCAGCTACTATTGCAACCCTCAATGTATCTGCTACTATTGCAATCCTCAATGCAGCTACTATTGCAACCCTCAATGTATCTGCTACTACTGAAACCCTCAATGCAGCTACTATTGCAACCCTCAATGCAGCTACTATTGCAACCCTCAATGTATCTGCTACTATTGCAACCCTCAATGCAGCTACAAGCCTGTTTCTCCTACACCTGTAATAACTCTACTTATACTCCAGATGTTGCTACTGTTTATAGTACCATCTTAAAACCAGATCTCATTATTGATTGTCCTGATAGTTCCACATGCAGATCAAAGACCCATATCTCTCTTAATGACAGGTCATGTTGATTATCAACTGTCTACAGTGTTTATCAGCATGCTAAGATCGATGCAGCTGCATGTTTCGAGTAGCTTCTCATGGACATCTTCTCACCTATGTATCCAGCCTTTACCTCGATGGGCAGATCCAGCTGAGACTGAAACAGAGAAAACAACACATCAATATTGTAACACAACGGCCATAGACTGGTTGATAATTACTGTAGTAAACTACGGTTTTAACGAACTCAAAGGGACCACTAAATTTAGTTTGTTATAACCGTAGTTTGTTAAAAACACATATACAGCTTATATACAGTAAATGGACGGGACCAAAAAACAGTTCATTATATCTGTCAGTTTGTTATGAGCATGTTCGTTATAAACGTAGTTTACTGTAGTGGATAAACTACTAAAACAAATGGATGCTGCCACCAGGCACAAAATGTGACAAAATAAATACCATAGCTTGGAGACGAGGTTTAGCGAAAAGTTACGAATGTCAAAACTAGCAAAACGCAGAAGGATCACACAAGTAGGTAAAGTTCACTAACAAGTTTTTTAATTAACTATTGAACTGAAAAATCTTGTACATGGTCTTGAGATCGCGAGGCACAATAGTGGCTGTCAACTGTACTGGAAACATCAGTCACTCAGAGTTATCTGTCACATTATGGCTCTAGAATCCAGTTCATCTTAATCCCTCTCACGATTGATATATCTGAACTGTTAAAACAATTAAACTGTACAATAAACTTTGAAACTTGAACGTGTACGAACTTGGCTGAAAACGGAACTGGACTCATGTAATGTAAACAATACATTCCGGAAGTCACTTAACCCAGAATGAATTACAATGAGGCCACACCTCCTAGAGCTGTCAAAATGTGTCGAAATGACTTCGGACCCCCAGATCGCGATAACAATCAACTGTCAAAACATCTAAATATAGACCGTAAACTAATATTTTATTCGGACGACAAATCACTTGCGACCTGTGATAACTGTAACAGGAACTCTAACTTGTATGCTTGCATATCATTAAGATCTTTGAATATCCCATCGGAATGAATCCTGGAATGGCTGTCTGAATCTCGGAACTGTCAGACGTCATCCGGACGTCAACAAAGGTAAATAATCACCAATCTGCGATCAAATACTAAAGGAGAGCAGACCAAGTATTAATATTGGCCATGTAAATTAGATGTTATACAATAAAAATCTCTTAGAATGCGAAAATTAGAATTTCAGCTGTGATATAACCCTGAAACCCAAACTTGCTTCTCTAGTCAAAATTGCCGCTGCTGAATAACATTGGCGGGTCTATTTATAGCAATGTTAGAAAATTGGCACTAGTCCTATAGTCCTTGCCAAACTGCCCAATAGTTAAGGTATCCTAAGGACTAGTAGAAATTTGCCTGTTCCTAGGGGTTTGCTAAATGTTATTATCATAAGGACTAGTGGACCAAAGCTGTTAGTTTCTAGCACTGTATAGGTGACCTAAGGTCACATGATATGCAAATGTGATGTCAGAAAATCCAAGATGGCGACTGTAAATATGACTGACATGACTCAACTTACTCGAACTTACTTGTTACTCGATTCTGTAACTTGGAAAAACACTGCATAAAGGTATGCCATCCTAATAACATACAACAGGATGCTGGTCCCAAGGTTGAAATGAGAGTGAAGGCTAAGAGTGGTCCCACTGTCATAAAAGGCTATAAGTTTGAGCTATGAAGTAGCTGTTAATCATGTTAATCTTGATAAAAACAGGACCTTTTGTTACCATATCAACCCAAAAATATCATAAGACCATATTGATTCATGGTTCCAGCATCTACACTGATGCATATCAGCAAAATACGCCATAAGATTAATAAGACACGTAACCAGTGAAAAATAAAAGTCCTTCTGGAGATTAGTTTCGTACATGTTGCTATCCCCGGGGTACTGATGCCAGTTATCAGGAAGATAGTATGACAGAGAATGAAACAAAAATAGCCCAGAATGAAGAATGGAGGAAGAAAAACAATGCCGGAGATTATTGATTCAGTCCTGAATTTCGGAACTGGAAGCGTATTCTTCCGTGTTATAAGCAGGATATTGCTTATATGCAAACTTTATTCATCAACACATGGATAGTTAAATGTCATGCCGGTCAATGAACATACTGAATCAATTTCCTTGTCAGACATGGCGCTGTTCTTTTCCCTAAATCAATGCTAGTTAACAGAGGCTGATATTTGGTCATTTGACAGACTTACCGTCTGATAAGGTGGACGCTGTACTAGTCCAGACTTATTAAGGCTGGTTTTACATTTTTATACCTTTTCTGCAGTTTAACAGGGATACTCCACTCAGACACAGTATACTGACTCGGATCCGTCTAGTCTTTGTTTGATCCCCTTAATGCCGAGCGCATGGCCTGATGCAGACGGGGAGTATTGTTATATTCTCCTTTAAATATTCCAGAAAAAAGAACAGGATTTATCATGTTCCTGCACTGAACACTTGTTGAGAATCAAACCCAAGACTTAGTCCTACCGTACTGAAGAGAGGTGAACTGATTTTTGATTCATTATGGTCTTACAGGCTCGTAATCTATGTAAACATTTTCATTCCCTATTTTGTAAGCTTCATTTCATAAGGAATCATGAGAAAATGTTGATTCTGGAGGTTACTAAGAATCAGCGAGCCCCTGCGAGTCAAGAATCAAGTTACTCGAGTGATTTCTTTGACTTAAACCATGTAATATAATCTCAATATAATTTGCATATTGAACTATAGTTGTGTCAGTTTTATTTGTTAGAATGCACGTTTAGAATGGCCAGTGAATTCCTGGCTCAGTATCAACAGCAAGAAACAATAGCATAACATCATAATGGTTTAATCCTTGAAACACAATTTGGCATGGCCTAGTGTATGAGATTACATCCAAGGTGACTGTCTACCCACTATGGTTGTGCTCATGTCAGTTGCCCTGGTGGTTGGTCATGTAGTGAAAACAAAAACATATTTCCAAATGTAAGTTTGGACTAAACATCTTCAGACATTGTATTCCACTGAACAGGTTCAATAAAAGAATTGATATCACAGCTAGGTGTTCAACAGGCAGCACATATGACATGGGTACATATTCATAAAATTGAGTGAGTGAGTGAGTGAGTGAGTGTGTTTTTATGCTGCATTTAGCAATATTCCAGCAATACCATGGCAGGGAACACTAGGAATGGGCTTCACACATTGTACAGGGGTCGATTTAACTGCTGACCAATTGGCTCGTGGCCAGTTAAAATTACAAAGGGCTTGCTGAAACGTAAAGCAGATGGCCTGTTTGGCTTGTCCAAATTTCATCCCATCTCCTTGTATGTTTAATTTTTTTAAGTGGATCTTCTCGGTATAATGACAACTGGCCACAATTTTGTAATGTTGTGTACAACAACTTCTTTATTTGCTTATATATCACCATGAAATGAGGTAAATGGAAGCCAAAATTTAATCTTAGAGTGCAGAAAAATAATAATTTTAGGGGTGAGGAGTTCAGATCCCTGCTAGGTGGCTACGCGACCTCAGGTACGGCCATTTCACGGCCTCCACCATTTAGTTGTAGGCCAGTTTGTTAAGGGCCAGTAACCTCTAAAAGGAGCAAGCCCTGCTGGCTACATACAAGCTTCTTGTTAAATCTACCCCTGTTGTACCCATATGGGGAATCAAACCCTGGTCTTTGGCATGACGAGTGAACGGTTTAACCACTAGGCTGCCGGCCACGACCCCTACATTGACAACAAGGGTATACAACATGTACAAGGTGCTCAGTTTGCTTAAACATTAATTACAATTTCATTTCAAGCTTCACCATATTTGTATTCATTTGGGAATCAAACCCAGGTTTTGGTAGTGAATGGACAACACTACTAGGCTACCCTAAAGCCGCCTTGACATGCTGAAGAGGATAATAAAACATTATTTCATTTTAGTCGGTTGCTAATTGCTTGTCTGCTCATTATCCAGAGATATCCCAAGCACAAAACCCTTCGAAAAAACTAAACAAAATATTCATGAGTACATAGCATTTGTAAGTCCCACAACACACAACAACAAACCATTGTAATTCCCATACCAGCACTAATACCTAGTACCTGTTCCGCAGAGGTCTCCAGGCTTCTTCAGAACACCACACCACATGCATTGGCTGTCTACAAACTGATTGAACACTGTGTTAACACAAATGCTGCAAACCTGATGAGAATCGGTATATCTCGGGGGAAGCTGTGGTAATGTGGCGGGATTAATTGGCACGCTAACTCCATCAAATCACATTGTGAATAATGCTTGGAAAAACCATCATTTTGTCTTCGTGGAAATAGTATTAAGCTCTAAAGCTATCTTGGTTGATGATACTTACAGCAGTATTCATGACCTTTACGAGCTAGTGGGATAGCCTCTTGGTTAAAGAAGATGCTCCTGAAATTTGGTGTTTAATTCCTGAATGGGTACAATGCATGAGTCCCAGACTTGGTGTCCCCAGAGTGATATGGGTGGACTATTGATACTGTACACTTAACCATATCATTCACAATCTTAGACTATCTTTCAGCTGAATATGCCCACAGAAGGCTTAACATCACTTTAAACAGTGAGTACATAGCTGTCAACTTTTCCAAATTACAATTAGAATTTGGCATGAAACTTACAATCTTAGGGTCAGGACACCAAATCCTGACGATATGAATCATCTACAGTACAATAAGGCCATGTGATTTCGAAACTCAGTTGAAGATTTTATTGCTTAGTTTCAATTTTGACCACAAGCAATTTCCAAAAATATGAGTGGAGCATCTCCATTGGACAGCTGCAACATACAGCTCATACCAGTCAACAAACAGATGTGTTCATAGCAGATGGTATGAGGCTAAATAATAACCCACTCTCTACTAGTCTAAAGGGGCAGTCAGTTAGCCTAATGGTTAAAGCGTTCGCTCATCACGCCGAGGATCCGGGTTCGATTCCCGACATGAGTACAATGTGTGGAGCCCATTTCTGATTCCCCCGCCGTGATATTGCTGGAATATTGCTAAAAGCGGTGTAAAACCATACTCACTCACTCACTACAAGTATACAAGCAAATGTAGTCCTTGTAATTCTTTTTTTCTTA